AACAGCCGGTGAATGCTAGGCTTATTATTTTAAAGAGCCAGGAGGCTGGGGCGGGGGGGGGGGGGGGGGAAGCAGCCATTGAGAGGGCTGGAGGGTGGGCAGGGCATGGAGCCTGTCCAATTTAGAAATTCGGCCGATTCGGCAGCAGCCAAATCTCCGAATCAGATTTGGCCAAATCGATTTGGGACAGCGATTCGAATCATCAAATGGAATCGCTGTTCCCTGAATTGGCCAAATACGAATCCAAAGCAAACATTAGCTACTTCACACATGCCTAATGGACATGCTAGGTGCATCTACATGAGATGTTTACTACAGAGCTAGCTAATTAGCTCCTCAATAAAACATCACTGTCTACACGTGCAGTGCTATTAGGACAGAATAAACTAATTAACTCTACAGTAGATTAGTACAGCTAGATACAAGTAAGAACCTATGGTGTGGTTATTTACCCTGCTGCAATGCACACGTCAATGCTTACAGGGCTGGCTGGGGCATACTTGTGCCCCAGCCAGCCCCTCCACAAAATGTTGAGCCAGGTCAGAGGAGCCCCAGGCTGGCAGGCTGACCTCTGGGGCCCCCTGCCAGCCAGGACTGCTCTGCCCCGGCTCAACATGGTGCGGTCCTAGGCTCATGTGTAAATGCTGTGCCCAGGAACAGTTTATTCAGCCACATTAATTTCACATGTAGATGCCCCTGCCAAGAATCAAATTAAGTACAGATAATGAAAATAAAATTGGTTGAAATAAAAAGAAAGAAAAAAAGAGAAACATTTTCAAGGAGAGCTTTTAATCTAATGCAATTCCTTTAACTATTGTGGAATGTCAACACTTCCAACTCCCAGAACATAAGCCTTAATCCCGATTACAGTAATTTTGTAATACCTGACCAGCCATTTTAGAAATGCTAGAGCAAGTAAGCGGCTGCATTTATATAGTGGTTACAGGAGACTAGGTCACAAGACGACCTATTCTCCTGTTACTCTGTGAAGGAAGAGAGGATTTATTCTATATCCATGTAAGACTCTGGAAAGACACTCCCCCACATCCTTGTCTAAAATGGAGGCTTGATTGAGTGCTGACTGTCCAGCAGAGCCTATGGACAGCCGCAACAATTTTACTGAATTAAAAGTTGGAGAGAAGGACATCTTACTTATGAACATGTGTTACCTGTTGTGTTGTAACCATTTTGCCTCTGCTACCCTACAGTAAGTAGAAGCTAAACTGGGGCAATTTACCCCTGAATGAAACAGCTGCTAAATTACTGTTGCTTCCACTTACCACAGGATAGCTCAGACATAAAGAACATTTACTGGACATCAGTTGGACTTGTGGTGATTGCCCTGATGAACACTTTTAAATGGGTATAATTGTTTTGCCTGCCCCTACTAAGATAAAGGATATTGGTAGGCAATATTAACTTCTAAACTTGAGCATTTTACTTTCTTTCCACGTTAGATCTGAGTATCCACAGCTTTAGACCAAAATCATTTGCAACAGGCATCTTTTAAGGCAACTGGGGATTTTCTGACTCCTGGGCCCCTAAGTTTGGACACAATAGCCATCACTCATTAGCATTTTTGAATATATTCCTACTATAAATTTGTGTTGATTGGCTAATCTGAGACCATAAAAGCAATCCCTGAGATAGAAGGTCAGAGTTTATCAGTCCTTTTTTAGAGGATTATGGTCTGTACCTCAGAATCAGTCTATAGTGTTTTAGCTAATGTTGGGCTTAGTTTCAAATGTGATCTGGACGAAGTAAAGTCCAGAAAACATCGTGTGAAATTTTATCTTTTTATTTGCAGGATGTTCCAGGGCTCTCATCTGACGGTAGTATCTGAGCCCGTCAAGCACCAGTGTTGCAGATGGGAAACTGCAGCACAGAAGATTAAACAGCTTGTTCCAGGTCACATGAGAAGTCTGTGGCAGAGTTGAGAACTAGACTTTAAACTTTCAAGTCCAATTCAGTGCCTTAACTATAAAAATATCCTTCTTCAGTTCTGCTTATAATAGACTCTGTGCCATTTACCATCAAAAGTAAAGAGAAAAACCTTAATGGTATTTAAGTTGGTCACTTTTTTTTTTTTTTTATAGAGGGCTGTGGGTGCATTTACATGTGCACCATTACTGCTCAGTAACTGAAAATTACTGCGGTATGGGAACACATCTACACATTTGTGCCCATACTGCGCAGTAACTATAGCGACTTATGCCGCCTTGGGAGTAAATTTGCTGCCTGTATGATGCAGGTAGCAAATTTACTCCTGAGTAGTTACTGCACAGTAAGGCATGTATAGACGGCATGTATAACCCTGTTTATGTGGACTGACTTGGGAGTAACTTTACTCCCAAGTCAGTGCACACACAGTGTTACTGTGCTGTAACACCTCCATGTGTAGATGCCAGTCTAAAAACTGCTTGCTGCACAGTAGCTTATCACACAGTAAGTTACTGTGCAATAAATGCATGTGTAGACATGTCCAGCTAGTAGTAAAAAGATAGCCCACACAAAAAAGAGTTGCTTTACACCTGTGTGTTGAAAAGGAAAGGCCAGATTCTGTGAGATGTTGAGAACCCTTCACTTTTGCAGAATCACTCAGCCTTCATAAGATTTGATCCTGTGAAAGACACAGGACTTGCTCTAAAACCCACTGAAGTCAATGAGAATCTTTCCTTGGCTACCTCCAAGACGGTAGCAACTGAGTCTAAGGGAGGAATGAAATAAGAGGTGAGATTACATTCAAAGAGTTGTCAGTCTTGGATGTGTGACAAAGATAATCAAAAGGTTTGTGACCTCCAATTGATGAAAAAAAGCTTTCTCCCTAGTTACCTATTGAGGGTATTGACTTGTGTATCTCGTGCTAATAGCTGTGCTAAACAAATCCCCACCACCACCTCCTAAGAAAAGCCCTAGAGAGGCTGCATCAGAAAACAGCAGGGAAGGTACTTGTGGAGACCAGCTTTTTACATGAATATTGCAGCTCTGTGGTGACTTCATAAAAATACATATCTATGCAAGGGGCTTATTGATTCTGCAAGCAAAACCCACAGCAGACAGAAATGAACTGGAAACAAAGCAGTGGGATAAAAGCATTTTGCTTACATAAATAGAACTTTGAAGGTGAAATGCAACTCTGCGTGAGGACAACTTCTATTCAATTATTGTTGAGATCATTTTATTTCCTTTCTTCCTTAAGATTTTATGTTGAAATTTCCCTTGCATCAATATTTGATGAAAGGCAGGCTTATTCAAAAGCATTTACTTAGTTATTTACCAAGGAGAAAAGCCTATCCAAGATCCATAATACATCAAGGAGTGGGGAAATTGGTGGTACAAGACTTCCTGCTAGCAAAAAACATACAGGAGATAAAGACTCTGGAGGATGTTCTACTGGTACGCTGGTCTAGAGTGAAGCACAAGCAATTTAGCATGTATGCTGCTGCCTGCGAGGCCAGCCAAACCCCTCTTGTTGAGAACCATGCATGAGGATAGGATCCCTGTGCTAACTTGTTAAGCCACTGTCTGTCCTAGCATTGTTCTAGAATCTAGATGCTGCAGAGGAAGCTGTCTGGCAAAGGAGCTCCTAGACAAACACTACAGTCTTTGCAGAATTTTGGGAGCTGTCCTAAATGTGCTGCAGTGAGCTGACCATATTTGTACCCCTATTGGACAGCATCACAATTGCTCGAGTGTGTGGCCTGAACCCTATGCTGCTTACAGTGAAGAGTTTCTCTTTTAACTTGATCAGTAGCAGGATTCTAAATCTGGAGATGAAGGCTAAATGTTCTAGCCCCACAACTGCATGAGCTCTGAGTGGCCGTGATGTGTAGTACAGAGACAACAATGACAACCTTGGTGACCCCATTTTTTTCAGGGTATTTTTGGCCATTGCTTGCGTTTGTGTACAAAACCAGCATTCCTGGCAACAAACGGTTTTATAAGATTACATTAGCTTTTGTACTATATTTTTTTACTCCTGTAAAATACACCAGAGTTTATACATATATAGGTGGAACTATGATGGCTCCCTCACAATCTGTACATAAATAGTTTCATAGTTGGTAGGGTTGGAAGGGACTTGAGCAGATCATCAAGTCCGACCCCCTGCCATGGCAGGAAAAGGGAGTGGGTTCAAACCCCGGCAAGATGTTCATCCAGCCTCCTCTTAAAGCCCCCCAGGGTAGGAGCCAGCACCACTTCTCTTGGAAGTTGGTTCCAGATCCTAGCTGCCCTGACAGTGAAGTAGTGCCTCCTGATATCTAGCCTGAATCTACCCTCTGCCAGCTTCTGACCGTTATTTCTAGTCACTCCTGGTAGTGCTCGGGGGAACAGGGACTCCCCCAATGCCTGCTGGTCCCCCCTGACTAGTTTGTAAATGGCCACTAGATCCCCCCTCAGCCTTCTCTTGTGGCTGAACAGGTTCAGGTCCCATAGCCTCTCCTCGTAGGGCCTGCCCTGCTGACCCCTGATCATGCTAGTGGCCCTCCTCTGGACCCTCTCTATGTTGTCCACATCCCTCCTGAAGTGCGGCGCCCAGAACTGGACACAGTACTCCAACTGCAGCCTGACCAGTGCCGCATAGAGGAGGAGGATCACCTCCTTGGACCTGCTCAAGAGGCATCTGTGGATGCATGACAAGGTGTGGTTGGCCTTCCTGACTGCATCCCCACACTGCCAGCCCATGTTCATTTTGGCATAAAGAGCTTCAATATTTAGAAAAAAATGCTTTTGTGCCAGTTTTTTATGCTGTGTCAAACACATACCTTGTGCTATACAAAGAATATTCTTTTTTTTAGTCCAATGAGTACGTTTTATTTTATGTTTAAGGAGAAAAGGCCCTTATATCAATTATTTCATGCTGAATCTTCTAAAGCAAGCATGTTCTCCCTAGGGTAAATGATGTGGAGTGGAGATGGTTAGCACAGCTAACCACTGCTCTGATCAGCAGGGAATCTGGTTTTCTCTGATAAAAAAAAAAAAAAAAATCCCCCATTTTCAGATTAAAAAATGTAACCTAAAATCCACATTTTCCCATGATTAAAATGAAATGCCACAAATATATATATATATCGTGCTGTTTCAGTTTAATCACGAGAAAATGTGGATTTTAGGTTACTTTTTTTAATCCAAAAATTGGGGATTATTTTTAACAGAGAAAAGCAGGATCCCTGGTCAGTTAGTCCCTTTGCATTCCTGTTTCAGCTCAACTATTGCCAACAACGCTATACTCTTGTCAGTGAAGATTCTCCAGAAAGCTGCTGGCAAATGCAAGCACATTGTAATGACAGTAGCTAAATGGTTAAAATGAGGTGGCATTCAGCGCAGTGTAGAAAGAGCCAAAATTCTGGGACGTTTAATGCAAGATGAAGTTGCGGCTGCACTTACAATCACATTTCACTTATCTTGCAAGGAGGTTCTAGCAGTATCAGCTTTCCAGCCAAGAGCTGCTACCCGCATAGCTGTGAGGTAAGTGCTCTATGCCGCACTTCCACTGCAGACTTTTACAAGGCAGAGAGTTGGCCCAGCACCAACTACAAGTGATGCTGCTTAAATCATCCAACTTAGAGTATGAGATGACAAGTACTCTGACATTTAGAAACGACAACATGAAACGGCCATAAGTGGCTCTGATTGCTTCCTTCACCTTCAAAAACTCACCCCGGATCTTAGAAAACTGCTCAAGTTGTCAGTATCCTATAAAAACAAAGCTGTAATAACAACGACACTTGCATTTCTGTAGCATCCAGGAAATTCAGAGGGTTTTGTCATCCTAAATTCAATGCTACAATTTCCTTGACAGGCTATTTGTACTTCAAAAAGTAGCTGTTCTCCCCACATGTCATGGAAGAGAAAAAGACTGAGATGCAGGGAGACTAACTTATCTAAATTGTCTTATCTCATCAGCAGGGATCCTGGTTTTCTCTGTTTAAAAATCACAAATTCTCTGATTAAAACCCCAAACTCCACAATTTTCTATAATTAAAATAAAATGCTACTATATACATATCTATATATAGATATATAGCTATTAGTTGAACACAATGTTTTATTGATATATTTACAATTTTAAAGCAATCTGGAAGCTTATAGTGCTTCAATCATGTAATAAAATAAATTCTAAATACCTATATATTTTGGCATTTGATTCTGGGTTTTTTTATCATGGAAAAATCACAGCTCCCCCTGCCCCCTTCGCTCACCAGGATCCAGGTCAGGCTGTGGATATGGCTGCCTGCACCCTGCTGCTTTGTGGTGCTGAGCAGCCCTGATACATCATTGCCCTGCCTCTGCCAATGCCATTGCCCCTCACTCCTGACCCACAGTCCCCTGGCCATGCTGGTCCCCTTTACTCCAAACTCATGGCCCCCCAGCCCTGCCAGTGCCCCTCACTTTGAAACCACAGCCCCCTGGCCCTGCCAGTGCCCCTCACTCCCAACGCACAACCCTCCCAATCCCGCTGGTGCTCCTCACTCCTGACCCACTACCCCACCCCATCACCATCCATCCCCTGTCCCCCCACATGCAGCCTGTGCCCCCCCTCTTTGTCCCTCCCAACTTACCTGGAGGGAAGTGCAGGAGCTGCTCTGCACCACTGCCTGGCTGCCATGTGCATGTGTGTGCACATACATGCACATGGCACCCCCTGCTCCCTGCATCGCTCTCCCTCCCAGCCCCAAGCATCTCCTTGCAGGCTGGAACTCTGCCAGCCTGCCTGTGTTTTTCTCCTTTAAAGGATAAAATCTGTGTTTTTCTGCATTTTTCCACAACAAATGGAAAACCTGGATCCCTGTTCACCAGTCAGGGAGTTTCCAATATCTCTTGAAAAAAGTCTTTCTGGAGCGGACTTAGACTTTAATCCTTCCACATTGATAAATTTATCTTCATTCTGAGTCTTTGGCTAGGGACAGAAGTTACACATAGAACGGTACAAATGATCAGAAACCGGTTCAAATTCATAACACAACAGAACTTCAGTGCGCATAAACCACTTTCAAAATGGCTGAAACTGGTTTAAGATAAACCTGGATAGATGTAGCATCAGAC